ATAAAAATTCAGCGTGTAAGAAAGGTAACTTTGTTTTCCTTAAAGACTCATATATGATCACTAAAAATACTTACTCCCCAGAGATCCCCTCTTCCTACAACACAACACCTCACTTGGCAATCATTTCCTCTCATTTGACTATCCCATTTGTTATGTGTGTAGAATAGTTCATATGCAAATAATACATCTATATTTCCACTATTTGAATACCAGTAGTTTCCCTACCTCAATAACAGATAAACATTTTCTCTGTTTTCTATCCTGAGCCCTTGATCTGATTTTCTGGGTGCCTTCATCTCTCAATAATGACTTTACTCACAAACTGGTCCCAGAACACATACAGGAAGTTACTTTCTGACATCAGGGCCCTCATCAAACTAAAATCCCAGTGTCCTAGACAATCAGGATTTTTCTACTTAAGAGACTTTACCCAGCTAACCCAGGAGGCTGAAGTAGGAAGATCACTTGAAGAAAGGAGTATGAGATCAGCCTGGGCAACAAACGAGATCCTGTAACTTAAAAAAACATTTTTTTTCCAGCTCAGGTCAAAACTCCCATGCTGATCAGTAGTGGGATCGTGCCTGTGAGTAGCCACTGCACTCCAGCCTAAGCAACATAGTGAGACACCCCTGACCCCCCCAAAAAAAAAAAAAATTCTTGCAGCTTTTTCAGCCCAGTTTAAAAAAACTGCTTTTAATTAGCTGCAGCTACTTGGGAGGCTGAGATGGGAAGACAGCTTGAACCCAGGAGTTTGAGGATGCAGTGAGCTACAATCACGCTACTACACTCCAACTACAGTTAGAGATAGGGTAAGCCCTCATCTCTAAAAAAAATTTTTTTTTTTTGAGACCGAGTTTCGCTCTTGTTACCTAGGCTGGAGTGCAATGGCGCGATCTCGGCTCACCGCAAACTCCGCCTCCCGGGTTCAGGCAATTCTCCTGCCTCAGCCTCCTGAGTAGCTGGGATTACAGGCACACGCCACCATGCCCAGCTGATTTTTTGTATTTTTAGTAGAGACGGGGTTTCACCATGTCGACCAGGATGGTCTCGAACTCTCGACCTCGTGATCCACCCGCCTCGGCCTCCCAAAGTGCTGGGATTACAGGCTTGAGCCACCGCCCCCGGCAAAAAATTTTTTTAATAATAATTTTTAAAAAGAGACTTCAAGTCCCAAATGGCAATAAAGGGCTTAACTTTATGCTATACTATAAATCATTCACGTGCAACTGCCTGGACACAACTAAATGAGTACAAAGACATGAGAATCAGTGAAAAATTTAAGCCGCTCCTCAAACTTGGATAGCTTTTACTCACAGACTAGAATTCATGACTATAATTTTAAATTACATACACATGTAACATATTCTACAAGCCACAGCACCTAAATTATATGAAAGAATTAATTTTTTTCAATATGCCACAGAATTGTGCAATCAGCACTACAACCAATGGGGACATCAGTAGTGATTTGGGTTCCTATCACTATTGATCCCACTTTCAGGGACATGTGCAACAAGACAACCAGAGTAGCCGGAACACCGTTGGGTAAACTAAACACTTAAATTATTCCCTCCCATCCTCAAAAAATATTAATTACAAAAATAAAAACAGGCCAAGAGTGGTGGCTCATGCTTGTAATCCCAAGACTTTGGGAGGCTGAGGTAGGAAGATGGCTTGAGGCCAGGAGTTTAACACCTAGGCAATATAGCAAGATCCCACCTCTACAAAAAAAAATTTTTTTTGTTTTGAGATAAGGTCTTGCTCTGTAGCCCAGGCTGGTGTATAGTGAAGCAATCTTGGCTCACTGCAACCTCTGCTCCCAGTCCCAAGTAAGCCTCCTACCTCAGCCCCCTCAGTAGCTGGGACTACAGGTGCATGCTACCACATCAAGCTAATTTTTGTATTTAAAATATAATTTAAAAAATATAAATAAAAACAATGCTAGTTTGTATCTGGCCTCAAAGAAAAAAAAAACTGTATATAATTCCTTGTCCTTTACTCTTAACCAAGCTGCTTTTCTAGTCCAGTCTCTTTGGTCAAGCTACTGAACCACTTAAAACACCAGAGTCCCTTTATGTAAAGTCAAGCCAACGAAAAGAGACATGACCTTTTTTTGCCCAGCCCCAGAAAGTAAATGGGTGTTAACATGTTTGTCAGTGAAGTATAGGAAGGGAAAAAACTAACTGTCTTCTATCACCATCTAAATTTTTGTGGATTATTCTCCTCTTTGCTCCATTTTCTCTTTAACCCTTCCTTACTGTTTCAACTCTCTTCCTTCTCTTTATTCCCACATCTCTGTTCCAAGCTCTTTTTGTTCTTACTCTTCTCAGTCTTAAAGCCCAGAACAATGCCCTTTTATTTCATTTCCAATAGGAAAGAAAATGTACCAGGGATTAGGAAATTTAGCTCATACCAACGGCAGCATCTGCTACTATCACCAACAATCAACAAAATCGACAAATATCCAAGCAATTATTCAATACCTACTATAGATGAAATAATGTGGCAAGAATAATGGAAGAGATAAGGTACAAGACAGTTACTGCTCTCCAAGAACTGACAATCTTGTTAGAGAGATCATGCCAAAATGTGAGAACAGGTAAAACATAAGGCAGTTAGAAGACTGCAGTACATAATCTAAAAAAACCCAGGAGCTGTATTGTTTGGACACAGACCAAAGGAAGGCATGGTCACTGTGTTCTAAGGGCTCTCAAGGAGGCTCACTCAGAGAAAGCACAAGCTAGACTCTGAGGAGTCCTAAGAGCAGTAAGAGATGAGGTGGAGAAGAAAAAACTTTCCAGAAGAAAAAACTTCTAAGAAGAATAATATAAAACAGAAAATTTTATGTTACACGTATTTTACCACAATTTAAAAAAAAAAGGAAAGAAGGAAAGAAGAACAGGTGCTTGTGCCCCTCAGCTGTCTCTAGCAGGGGAGAAAAAGCCAGCACAGAGGGCTTGACAATCTGAGAATTCCTATGCATCCTATGCATGGACAGGAACATCCTAATGAACTTGGTCAATTGACGCTGTCCAGTGCATAGTCACACCCCCCATAATTCCTAATATTATTTCTTCTAACCTGACATTATGAACATATTCTTTTCTTATTTTAAATAACAACACTGTATATAACCTGACAGTACGACTAAAGCAAAAGAAACTATTGATCAACAAGGGAGAGGTGTGCATGGTGAGGAAAAACGCGATGATTGTTTTTCTACCAGGGAAATGCCCTCTGGAGGTAAGGGTTCAGCAGCTTTGCTATAGCCATAGTGCAGAAATCTCAAACCCAGAGGATCCATAGGTCCCCATTCTTCAGAGTTTTCTGCTCAGCACAAGAGAGGAAGTCTACAATTGCTTCTAGAAATGAGTCACGAAAAAAAAATTAGCTTTCAGCTTCCAGCCAGTTGCTAATAAAGACCTAAGTATCTAAATTCAAGGTATTAGCCTCTGCCAACCATCTAGGGGAAAAAAAAATCCCTACACTAGTAGATAAAGCAAATGTTATAGAAATCACACAAGACACACCTTTACTTGGTTGAAATCATGCCAAGGTGCCCTTTTGACTTTCAATTTAATCAGAAAGGAAATTCATGTAACAGTCGAAGAAGAAAGATTAGTCAAAACACTAAATAAGAGAAATGTTTCCAATTTCCCATAATGGCCAGTGTTAGAAAAGGAAACACGCTTGCTGAGAAACTGTCAAAATAATCATAAAAAATATAAATAGTGAGGATAGTAACTGGTCTAAGGTGCAAGACATCCAAAGATATGTTTCAGTTTATGTGTTAAAAAATAAAATGAGGCCGGGAGCGGTGGCTCAAGCCTGTAATCCCAGCACTTTGGGAGGCCGAGGCGGGTGGATCACGAGGTCAAAAGATCGAGACCATCCTGGTCAACATGGTGAAACCCTGTCTCTACTAAAAACACAAAAAATTAGCTGGGCATGGTGGTGCGTGCCTGTAATCCCAGCTACTCAGGAGGCTGAGGCAGGAGAATTGCCTGAACCCAGGAGGTGGAGGTTGCGGTGAGCCGAGATCGCGCCATTGCACTCCAGCCTGGGTAACAAGAGCGAAACTCCGTCTCAAAAAAAAAAAAAAAAAAAAAAATGAAGGCCAGGCACGGTGGCTGACACCTTTAATTCCAGCACTTTGGGTGGCCAAGAGGGTGGGGATCACCTGAGGTCGAGAGTTCAAGAGCAGCCTGACCAACATGGAGAAACCCCATCTCTATTAAAAATACAAAATTAGCTGGGCGTGGTAGCACATGCCTGTAATCTCAGCTACTCGGGAGGCCGAGTCAGGAGAATCACTTGAACCCAGGAGGTGGAGGCTGCAGTGAACCAAGATTGCGCCATTGCACTCCAGCCTGAGAAACCAGCAAAACTCCGCCTCAAAAAAAATAAAAAATAAAAAATAAAATGCTTGCTAGAATAATCAACTTTGTTCATTCCTTACAATTTCCATACTAATATCCCCAAATCAATAAAATACAAGCTATAAGAAAGAATTAATATTAAAATAAGTACATGAAACAAATGAGCTCATTAGTCCAAAGGCACTGATTATTCACAGCAAACCAGAGGGATCTGGATACTCTCAAGACATTTATCAGTCACTCAAATACATTTGTACAGAAGATGGTGATTCTGATGTTTTACTGTATCAACCTCATAAAATTCCTGAAAGCTCACTTCCTGAAACAAGTACAAAGCTCTGCAATTCTGCTACTATGTACTTCTGGTACAGTACATCTTTCTTGAACCTACTCCCCGCCTCCTTTCTAATTCTTACTAATTTGGGAATCTGAGGACCTTAGATGTGCATATATTAGAAAACAAAGTAAATGTAACAAAATGTCCAAATGATGTTGACATACACTTAAATTTGGTTTCAAGCTACAAGGCCATTCAGTTAGTCTGGAGGAGACATTAATTAACAACAGCTCATCCTTAGATTTAACTTCGGGGATTACACTGGAGTTTACAACACTGCTCACCTTTAGAACAGAGGCTAAGCTGGTCATGTGCTCATTGAGGGCACACTCAGATTCCTTGTAGGTCAAGCAAGTGAACTGGTACTCCTCGGGATCAAAGGCATCAGCCCCCTGCTGTTCCACATCGCTGGCCACTCCCACGTAATAGTCCTCTATGTCCCCAGGGTCTTCGTCCTCTTCTTCCTCTTCCTCACAATTTGGGTCATAGTCCTCTTCATTGCTGTCAGACCCCTGGCTATTCATGTCCACGGACATCTTAGCATCCAGCCAACTTGCAGATCAGGAAAGCAGTTGCTTTTTCACCCTCCCCCCAAAACTACCGCTTTCTCAAATGCATTAGTATTTTTGTCTTCTAAGGGAGAAAAAAAAAATAAGTGTTACTTTTTCCCCATGACAAGTTGTAACAGAAACCGTTCAAGAATCAAAATGGCACAGTCCTGGCCCTAATTTCACTATACCCTATTCCAACTCTGGTATCACCTGGGGAATCTCACCCTCATCCCCCAAGCCCAGGCTTATCAAAGGGAAACCCTTCCCTGGTGAGACAGAAGCATCTGATAATGGTAACTTCATATGAAGGGCCTGGCATGACAGGGCAAGGCCGTCTGCTCCATGTCAGGGAGTCAAATTCCAATGAACTTGTTAGTCTTGCCAAAGTCCTTAAGGGAAAAGCACATCCATACAGCTGGCCACCCAGAGGCGAGGCAACATAAAGATATAGCTACCAAAGTTTAAAATTTTGCTAATCATGGTCCAGTGAGTATTGATACAGACAGTACACAAATAGGAACACTTCCCGTTATAATATGTACAAAAAGAAGACCACTGTTTCACAGACATTAATCTTAGATGTCTGAAAAATAGGTGCATAGTTGGTAAAGAAAAAAACTGGCTCTCGGCCTTAGCGCCATTTTTTTTGGAAACCTCTGCGCCATGAGAGCCAAGTGAAGGAAGAAACGAATGTGCAGGCTGAAGCGCAAAAGAAGAAAGATGAAGCAGAGGTCCAAGTAAACCGCTAGCTTCTTGCACCGTGGAGGCCACAGGAGCAGAAACATGGAATGCCAGACGCTGGGGATGCTGGTACAAGTTGCGGGACTGCATGCTACTGTCTAGAGCTTGTCTCAATGGATCTAGAACTTCAACGCCATCTGATCGCCGATCACCTTTGAGACCCACTTTGCTTATAACAAAAACTACCCATGTTGGTCCTTTACCCTGGACCTGTGACATTCTGGACTATTTCTGTGTTTACTTGTGGCCGAGTGTAACAACCATAAAATAAATCACCTCTTCCACTGTCTTAGCTGAAGAATTTAAAAAAAAAAAAAAAAAAAAAAGAAAGAAAGAAAGAAGGAAAGAAAAAAAAATGGCCGGGCGCAGTGGCTCACACCTATAATCCCAGCACTTGTAGAACAGCCTGGCCAACAAGGTGAAACCCTGTCTCTCCTAAAAATAAAAAAATTAGCTGGGTGTAGTCGCAGGCACCTGTAGTCCCAGCTACTCAGGAGACTGAGGCAGGAGAATCGCCTGAACCCAGGAGGCAGAGGTTGTAGTGAGCCAAGATCTTGCCACTGTACTCCAGCCTGGGAAACAGAGCAAGACTCTGCCTCAAAAACAAAAAACAAAAACAAACAAAAAAACCACATAGCTCTTCAACATCCTCCTCTAGTCTGCAAAGTTGACTGATTTTTTTTAAAGAGTTCCACTGGCCAGGTGTAGTGGCTCATGCCTGCAATCCTAGCACTCTGGGAGGCCGAGGCGGGTGGATCACGAGGTTGAGAGATCGAGACCATCCTGGTCAACATGGTGAAACCCCGTCCCTACTAAAAATACTAAAAATTAGCTGGGCATGGTGGTGTGTGCCTGTAATCCCAGCTACTCAGGAGGCTGAGGCAGGAGAATTGCCTGAACCCAGGAGGCGGAGGTTGCAGTGAGCCGAGATCGCGCCATCGCACTCCAGCCTGGGTAACAAGAGCGAAACTCCGTCTCATTTAAAAAAAAAAAAAAAAAAAAGAAAAAAAGAAACGGAAAAAAAAAAACCAGTCAGGAGTTCGCGACCAGCCTGGACAACATAGTGAAACCCTATCTCTACTAAAAATACAAAAAAACTAGCCAGGCAGGATGGCAGGCACCTGTAATCCCAGCTAATCAGGAGGCTGAGGCAGGAGAATCTCTTGAACCTGGGAGGCGGAGGTTGCAGCGAGCCATGATCGCACCACTGCACTCCAGCCTGGGCAAAACTCTGTCTCACACACACACAAAAAAGAGTGAAACTCAGTCTCAAAAAAAAAAAAAAAATGTCCACAATAGCAAAATGTTACTCCACTACATATGAATAAAGAGAATACTAGTTGAGAAAGTGAAAGTCACAAATCCTAACTTCAACTTACAGAAAACTGTGGCAAACACCCACAAACTTCTCTATACAAGTACTATTTCAAGGGATGATCTGCAAGAACAGTATCAACTAATGATTTAAATCTGGCTGGGCACGGTGGCTCACTCTTGTAATCCCAGCACTTTGGGAGGCCACAGTGGGTGGATCACAAGGCCAAGAGTTCCATATCAGCCTGACCAACATGGTGAAACCCCATCTCTATTAAAAATACAAAAATTAGCTGGGCGTGGTGGTAGGTGCCTATAATCTCAGCTACTCGGGAGGCTGAGGCAGGAGAATCCTTGAATTCAGGAGAAGGAAGATGCAGTGAGCCTGGGCAACAAGAACAAAACTCCATTTCAAAAAAAAAACAAAAAAATCAACTAATGATTTAAATCTAAAACTAACAGAACCTTAAAGTGCAAGAGCATTTGGATTAACAATATGTAAACAACTTATATAAATAAATCTAGATTAAATACAAAAGCAAATGTAAAGCCTACTTGAAGTAGATACTCTGTCTGAAAAAAACCACCAACCATTAATCTAAAACAAAGACTGACGGCCAGGTGTGCTGGCTCACAGCTACAATTCCAGAACTTTGAGAGCTGAGATAAGAGGATTCCTTGAAGCCAGAAGGTCAAGACCCACCTGAACAACCTAGTGAGATCACGTTGCTACAGCAAATTAAAAAACAATAATAATCCCAGCATTTTGGGAAATGGAGGTGGGCAGAACACCCGAGGCCAGGAGATCAAGATCAGCCTAGCCAACACTGGCGAAATCCCATCTCAACTAAAAATACAAAAATTAGGCTGGGCATGGTGGCTCACGCCTGTAATCCCAACACTTTGGGAGGCCAAGGTGGGCGGATCATGAGGTCACGAGTTAGAGATCAGCCCGACCATGATGAAACCCCGTCTCTACTAAAAATACAAAAATTAGCCAGGCGTGCTTGTGCACACCTGTAATCCCAGCTCCTCAGGAGACTGACACAGGAGAACCACTTGAACCCAGGAGGCAGAGGTTGCAGTGAGCCAAGATCACACCACTACACTCTAGCATTGGTGACAGAGCAACACTCCATCTCAAAAAAAAAAAAGGAAAGAAAAAAAACAAAACCAACAAAAATTAGCTGGGCATGGTGGTGAACATTTACAATCCCAGATACTTGGGAGGCTGCGGCAGGAGAATCACTTGAACCAGGGAGGCAGAGGTTGCAGTGAGCCAAGATCATGCCACTGCACTCCAGCCTGGGCAACAGAGTGAGATACTGTCTCAAAAAAAATAAATAAACGAAATAAGATGGGCACAGTGGTCACGTGCCTGTAGTCCTGGCTATGTGAATGGATTGCTTGGGCCTAGAAGGTCAAGGCTGCAGTGAGATCATGCCACTAATGCCTCTACATATCAGCCTAGGCAACAGATTCTGTCTCAAAAAAATAAAAATTAAAAATAAATAAATAAATAAAGTTAATAATAATTTAGATAAATGCTCTTCTACTTACCAAAAAAAAAAAAAAAAAAAAAAAAGAGGCCCAAGTACAGTGGCTCACATTGTATCATAATCCCCATACTTTGGGAGGCTGAGGCTGGAGGATCATTCATAACTATGAGTTCCAAAGGAGCCTGGGCAACATAATGAGACCCATCTCTACCAAAAGGAAAAAGAATTTGTACTGAATATGTAAAGTCTAAAGGACCGTGGAATCTTTTTTTTTTTCACCCTGAGACAGGGTTTCACTCTGTCACCCAGTCTGGGATGTAATGACATGATCATGGTCTACTGCAGCCTCCAACTTCTGGGCTCAAGAGATCTTCCTGCCTCAGCCTCCTGAGTAGCTGGGACTACAGGTATATGTCACCCCAACACCTGGCTAATTTTATTTTTTGTAGAAACAGGGTTTTACTGGCCAGGCATGGTGGTGGCTCATGCCTGTAACCTCAGCAACTTGGGAGGCCGAGGCAGTTGGATCACAAGGTCAGGACTTCCAGATCAGCCTGGTCAATACACTAAAATCCCATCTCTACTAAAAATACAAAAATTAGCTGAGCGTGGTGGTGGGCGCCTGTAGTCCCAGCTACTCAGGAGGCTGAGGCAGGAGAATTGCTTGAACCCAGGAGGTTGCAGTGAGCCAAGATCATGCCACTGCACTCCAGCGTGGGTGACAGAGCAAGACTCCATCTCCAAGGAAAAAAAAAAGGAAAAAGAAAAGGGTATTCCTATGTTGTTAAGGCTGGTCTCGAACTCCTGGCCCCGAGCGATCCTCCTGCCTTGGCCTTAAAAAACACTGGGATTACATGGCATGAGCCACTGTGCTCACCCTAGAGTCACATTTTTATATAATAAAAATATCAGCATATTTAAGTTGGTATGTTAAATATAAATGCTCCGATTTCTTAAAAAAAAAAAAAACCTATTAAATGATGTTTGCAGTCTGACTTTTAACAAACTCTTTTGTATGGTAGAGCCACATAGTCACAACTAAACTTAACTATGGTGTTTTTTCTTTGGAGAAAAAGTTAATCTTTAAGTTAGAAATACCTGTAATTCTTGGGAGATTTCTCAGGCATATGTCACCCAAATAGTCTATGTAATATGATTTCCATCTAAAATGAAAAGAGAATTACATGTATATTTTTAAAACTGGTATACCAATTTTGCAAGTTTTTTATTTTTGTTGTTTAAAGCTAAGGTATTTTAAAGAACAAGTACCAAGGAACAGAACAACTATTAAGTTAAGAACTTCTTTTAAGTGCCAACAAAAATCCATATCATAATTATACTAACAAGAGTTACATGAGCTTCTAAAAAAAAAAAAAAGTATTCCACTGGGTGTAGTGGCTCACACCTGTAATCCTAGCACTTTGGGAGGCTGAGGCAGGCAGATCACCCATCAGGAGTTCGATACCAGCCTGACCAATATGGCGAAACACCATCTCTACTAAAAACACAAAAATCAGCTGGGCATGGTGGCGGGCACCTGTAATCCCAGCTACTCAGGAGGCTGAGGCAGGAAAATCGCTTGAACTGGGGCAACAGAGGCTACAGTGCGCTGAGATTGTGTCACTGCATTCCAGCCTGGGTAACAAGAGACTTCATCTCAAAAAAAAAAAGACAGAGAGAGAAAGAAAGAAAGTAGCCAGGCGCAGTGGCTCACCTGTAATCCCAGAACACTTTGGGAGGCTGAGGCGGGTGGATCACCTGAGGTCAGGAGTTTGAGATCAGCCTGACCAACACAGAGATCCCCATCTCTACTAAAAATATAAAATTAGCCAGGCATGGTGGCTCATGCCTGTAATCCCAGGTATTTGGGAGGCTGAGGCAGGAGAATAGCTTGAACCCAGGAGACAGAGATTGTGGTGAGGTGAGATCATGCCACTGCACTCTAGTCTGAGCAACAAGAGCAAAACTCTGTCTCAAGGCAAGAAAAAAAAAAAAGTATTCAAAGTAAACAGGTAGCAATAATTTAACCTGGGATACTAGTAATAGAAACTAATGCTCAATTCTCTCTCTCCTCTCTCTCAGTTTGAAAACTACTTTTTTTTTTTTTTTTTTTTTTTTGAAACAGGGTCTCCCTCTGTCGCCCAGGATGGAGAGCAGCATTGCAATCTCAGCTCACTGTAACCTCCACCTCACCCAGCTGAAAGCCTACTTCTTTACTATAATACTTCTATCCTTCAGATTCTCGACAGTAGCTACCACAATTTCAATCCTAAATGTTATGTACACGTTGACAAAGCAAACTGTAACTGATTTAAAATTGAACTTTTACTATAAAGTCAACTCAACTGTGGTAATCTAACACAGAATACTACTAATATTTCAGATCTCACTTTACTCATGCTGTCATGGCTCATTTATGTCACTTTACTCATAAATGTCATGGTGGTACATGCCTGTAGTCCCAGCAACTTAGGGGGCTAAGGTGAAAGGACCTCTTGGGCCCAGGAGGTTGAGGCTGCAGTGAGCCAAGATTGAGCCACTGCAATCCAGTCTAGGTGACAGAGAGACCCTGTCTCCAAAAAAAAAAAAAAAAAAAAAAAAGTCCCAGGGCCAGGTGTGGTGGCTGACACAAGTAATTCCAGCACTTTGGGAGGCCAACGTGGGTAGATGGCCTGAGCGTAAGAGTTCAAGACCAGCCTGAGCAACATGGTGAAAACTCACCGCTATAAAAGACAAAAATTAGCTGGGCATGGTGGCTGCAGATGTAATCCCAGCTATTTGGGAGGCTGAAGCAGGAGAATTGCTTGAATCTGGGAGATGGAGGCTGCAGTGAATCAAGATTGCACCACTGCACTCTAGCCTGGGCAATAGAGTGAGATTCCATCTCAAAAAAAGAAAAGAAGAGAAAAGAAAAGAAAGGAAGAGAAAAGAAATTGCCCACAGCTGCTCACCAACCAAATATTTAGGTGGGGAAAACTCCAAGCTCCTCCAAAAAAAAAAAAAAAGAGAACTCCATTTCATACTAAGTGTTCTAGGCACAGATTTAAACGAAAATTTAATTTTTAATCATCTCAAAGTTAAATATCCAAATTCTACTTGAAAAAATACTGACCTTGTTCCAAGGGGGCAGTATCTATTTCTTTAGTAACATAACTGACAGTAACATTTTTATTTCCTTTGAGACTTAAATATTATCCCTACATCCCAGGAAGAAATGTCATTAATAGAAATTGTTTTTGGAGTTCAAGACCAACCTGGGCAACACTGCCAAATGCCGTCTCTGCAAAAACAGAATCTTAAAAATTAGTGGGGCACGGTGGCACACCCCTGTAGTCCTAGTTGCTCAAGAAGTTGAAAGAGAAGGATTACTTGAGTCCGAGAGATTGCAGTGAGCCATGATCACACCACTGCACTCCAGCCTGGGTGACAGAGTGAGGCCCTGTCTCTAAAAAAATTTTTTAAAGGTCAGGCACAGTGGCTCACACCTGTAATCCCAGCACTTTAGGAGGTCAAAGTGGGAGGACCCCTTGAGCCCAGCACTTCAATACCAACCTAGGCAACCTATTAAGATCCTGTATCGGCCGGGGGGCAGTGGCTCACGCCTATAATCCCAGCACTTTGGGAGGCCCAGGTGAGTGGATCACGAGGTCAAGAGATCGAGACCATCCTGGTCAACGTGGTAAAACCCCGTCTCTACTAAAATACAAAAATTAGCTGGGCATGGTGGCTCACACCTGTAGTCCCAGCTACTCAGGAGGCTGAGGTAGGAGAATTGCTTGAACCCAGGAGACGGAGACTGCGGTGAGCCGAGATCGCGCCACTGCACTCCAGCCTGGGTTTCAAGAGCAAAACTCCGTCTCAAAAAAAAAAAAAGACCCTGTATCTACAAAATATTTTTAAAATTAGCCAGGTATGGTGGTGCGTGCCTGTGGTCTCACATACTTGGGAGGCTGAAGCAGGAGGACCGTTTGAGCCCAGAAGGGCAAGACTGCTCTTAGCTCTGATCGCCGCCACTGCACTCCAGCCTGGTGACAGCCACTGTCCCGCCCACCAAAAAAAAAAAAAAAAAAATTTCCTCCAGAGCCAAAGTCACCCATGTTCAGAGGACCTTACAGCCACCCAGGGCTCGTTCACCACTGCAGACCACGAACAGAGTACAGAAGTTTTAGTGAGTCTGATGACGTTCACTCCAGATATGATCATTAGTGCTTTATGATCATTTACTAACTAAACCTCTGAAGAAAAACTTGGCACAAAACTAGAAATTAGCAATTTCGTTCCAAAATACTACACTCTGCAACTGTCTTGTCTAACACGGTGACCACTAGCCACATGCAGTTATTTAAATTTAATTACACTTAAAAATTAAGAAAAATTTAAATTTTCGTTTCCCAGGTGCACTAGCCTATAGGTCAAATGCTTGATGGCCACGTGTGGCTAGTAGCTACCATACAGAACAGCAAAAGTATAGAACATGTCCGCTATGACAGAAAGTTCTATGGGCCCCGGCAATAAACAGCACTAAGGCAAAGTCATCCGAGAACGGGCTGCCCAAGCAGCGTCGGGCAAGGGGGCTGCCCAGCTCCGGGGCCGCATGTCCCCAGTGGCGTCGTGGTCTCCGGAATATCCGAGCGGACTCGGAGCCCACGCGCTGAGGATACCCTCCACAGCCGGGCGTTAAACCGCGCGGGCAGCGCTGCGAGAGCTACCGAAGACGACTCGAGTGGGGAGCCCCGAGGCCGCGCGCTTCCTCGCCGCGCCAGGCAGGGAAGGCCCATATGTGCCGGCACCGGTTGGTCAGAGGCGGTGGCCTCCGACTTCTCCGCGAGCTAAAAAGGCGGCGAGACTAAAAAAAGGCGGAGAGACGCTGGGCGCCCGGCCGTCACTCCGCTGACGGCGGGGAACGCTTGGATAGTGTACCGGCGGCTGGGGGCGCCCGGGCCTCCCAGGCAACGGCGAAGGCGGAGTCCGGGCCCGGCCGGGGAGGCGCGCGGAGAGGCCCCCCCCGTTACCGGCCCGCCAAGGTAAACAAGGCCGCGACGTGCGCCGCGCACTTACCAGGAGCTGCGGCCCCGCGGCCGCTGAGCCCGGGCGAGCCAGACCGGGTCAGGCCGGACCAGAGGGATAGGATTGGGGCACAGCGGCGGCAGAGACAGCAGGCCGACGCCGGTCAAACCCGCGCTGCTTCCTCCACAGGAGCGGTCTCCGCAGCTCCGGAAGTGCTTGGCGCCGTTGCGTCACTTCCGGACTGGGGTCGACCCACGGTCTCTTGGGTCGCAGCAGGCTCCTGGCTACAGAGCCCCTTTAGCGCCGCCTCCTTGCAACTTGGCGCTCTGACCCAGAGTTTGACAGGGTACGGCGGGCTCCGACCGCGTGGGGAGTCACCATTAGCACACTAGCGTTTCCCGCCGAGATGATGTTAACCAGCGCGTTTCTTACCGACTTCTCATATCACTGTTCGTACTCCGGGATCGGGCACGGAGAGGACATCTGGCGTCGGTGGAGTGGATGGAGGACCATTGTTTCCCAGCCGCTATCTGGTCAGAGGAGAGCTGGGGCCTGCACCGAGAGGCGGTCTCTGGGTGGCCCCAGAGCCGCAGCCACACCAGGCTTTCGCTTCCCCCGCCGCGGCCTCGTTTGCCGCCCAGTTCTCCTACTTAACGCTCACCGTGCAAAATTGCATCTTAACTGCCTTGCTTGCAGTTTCTTTTTACAGTTGTAGGAATTGTCATGATGACTTCCAGTTACCTTCTGGGGCCGGTTGTCAAATGGTGTGGCTAGAGATGGACGCTCACTCAGATTGTTGCTGCACCACAGTGGAAATGCCCATGAGAAGCCGCTGTTGTTAGGGAGGCTCCGGAGTGTGCAATTCCACAGGCAACAAATCAAATTATTTCCAACCATACTCAAGTCCCTTATATACACATTCAAGACACCTATGCTGGCCAGTCGCTGTGGCTCATGCCTGTAATCCCAGCACTTTGAGAGGCCAAGATGGGAGGATCGCTTGGGCCCAAGAGTTTGATAAAGTGAGACCTCCCTCTTCTTTACAAAAAATTTAAAAATTAGCTGGGTGAAGTGGCACACGCCTGTGTTCCCACCTACTCAGGAGGCTGAAGTGATAGAATCACTTGAGCCGGGGAGGACGAGGCTGTAGTGCACGGAGATGGTGCCACTGCAGTCCAGCCTCGGTGACACAAAGAGACCTTATTTCAAAACAACAATAACAAGCTATACAATGTAGAAAGCCATTAAAAATCATAGAAAGCCATTAAAAATTTTATCCTCCTTCCCCATAAAAAAAAAGAGTGGGCTGCTCTGCCTACGGAGTAGCAATTTCTTTGTTTCTTTACTTCTCTAATAAACTTTCTTTTACTTTGCCAACAAAATAAATCATACTGGTTGGTGGAGCATGGTGGCTCACGCTTCTGATCCCAGCACTTTGGGAAGCCAAGGTGAGAGGATCGCTTGAGCCCAGGAGTGGAGGCCAGCCTGGGCAACATAGTGAGATTCCATGCCTACAAAAAAAAAAAAAAAAAAAAATGTTTTGATGGGTCATGAAAAAAAGCTCTTGGTGAGATGCAGCCATTTCTTCCGTCCTCAGTCTCTGCGCCTTTCGCAGAGCTTCCAGCAGCGCTATGTTGAGCGAGAGCATCCAGAGGTTCACAACCTCTGTGGTACATCGTTGCCACTATGAGGAGGACCCTGGGAAGAATGTGCCACTTACAGTGGAAAACAAGAGGCGGTTACTAGCCATGATGTGTTTGTACTTTGGATCTGGATTTGCTGCACATTTCTTTATAGTAAGACATCAACTGCTTTAAAAATAAGGATGTTTCAGTTCTCCATTTAACAGATATGAAGAGCTTTTTTTTTTTTTTTTTTTTTCTTGCTGTGTCACCCAGGCTGGAATGCAGTGGCTCAATCTTGGCTCACCACAACCTCTGCTTCTCAGGTTCAAGTGATTCTCTTGCCTCAGCCTCCTGAGTAGCTAGGATTACAGGCATATGCCACTACATCCAGCTAATTTTTGTATTTTTTTTTTTTTTTTTTAGACGGAGTTTCGCTCTTATTACCCAGGCTGGAGTGCAATGGCGCGATCTCGGCTCACCGCAACCTCCGCCTCCTGGGCTCAAGCAATTCTCCTGCCTCAGCCTCCTGTGTAGCTGGGATTACAGGCACGCGCCGCCATGCCCAGCTAATTTTTTGTATTTTTTTTAGTAGAGACGGGGTTTCACCATGTTGACCAGGATGGTCTCGGTCTCTTGACCTCGTGATCCACCCGCCTCGGCCTCCCAAAGTGCTGGGATTACAGGCTTGAGCCACCGCGCCCAGCTAATTTTTGTATTTTTAGTAGAGACAGGATTTCACCATGTTGGTCAGGCTGGTCTCAATCTCCTGACCTTGTGAGCCACCCACCTCAGCCTCCCAAAGTGCTGGGATTACAGGCGTGAGCCATGGCGCCCAGCCATGAAGAGCATTTTAAGAGGTGCAGTCTCTGAAAAATGGATCAAACTCGAACTCATATGGCATACTAGATATGTGTGTAAATAAACTTATGCAATGAATGAAAAAAATGTTTTGGCTGGACATAGTGGCTCACGCCTGTAATCCCAGCACTTTGGGAGGCTGAGGCAGGTGGATCACTTGAGCCTAGGAGTTCGAGACCAGCCTGGGCAACATGGTGAAACCCTGTCTCTACAAAAAATACAAGTTAGCTAGATGTGCCTGTAGCTCCAGCTACTCTAGAGGCTGAGATGGGAGGATCACTTTAGACCCAGGAGGTGGAGGCTGCAATGAGCAAGAGATTGGGCCACTGCACTCCAGGCTGGGGGACAGTGCCAAAACCTGTCTTCGAAAAATTAAAAAAAAAACAAAACGCTGTACTAAGGCATCTATTGATAAGGAAAGGTATTTGTGATATACTCAAGTGATAAAAATAGGATAGGGGCTGGGCACAGTGGCTCACGCCTGTAATCCTAGCACTTTGGGATACCAAGGCAGTCGGATCACCTGAGATCAGGAGTTCCAGACTAGCCTGACCAACATGGCAAAACTCTGTCTCTACTAAAATATACAAAAATTAGCCGGGCATGGTGGTGTACACTTGTAGTTCCAGCTACTCAGGAGGCTAAGGCAGGAAGAATCGCATCAACCTGGGAGGCAGAGGTTGCAGTGAACCGAGATCGTGCCACTGCACTCCAGCCTGGGCGACAGAGTAACTCCGTCTCAAAAAATAAAAAATAAAATAAAATGTGAATGCATGTCAAATATACAGTCTTTCGTGGTTTCTTTGGAACAGGAATCCAGACAGGCCACAGTAGGAATGGTTTATCTAAGCTCCACAGGTAGGGGCCTCAGCTAGAAGATTCAAAGGCTGGGTAGTGGAATCATAAGCAGAGTTGTTTACTCATACTTCTGGCAGTTGATGTCAGCTGGAGGCCTAGCTGGGGCTATCAGCCAGAAAATACACATGCATGATCTCTCCATGTGGCCTTTGCTTCCTGGTAACATGGTGCCTGGGTTCCAAGGGCAAAAGTTTTTTTGAAACAGAGTCTTGCCCTATTGCTCAGGCTGGAGTGCAGTGGCGTGATCTCAACTCACTGTAACCTCCTGGATTCAAGCAATTCTCATGCCTCAGCCTCCCTAATAGCTGAGATGACAAGATGACAGGCAGGCATCGCCATGTCCAGCTAATTTTTGTATTTCTCCATGGTTTCTCCATGTTGGTCAGGCTGGTCTTGAACTCCCGACCCCAGGTGAGCCACCCAGCTCAGCCTGCTAAAGTGTTAGGATTACAGGGGTGAGCCACCGCACCCAACCCTCTTTTTTCTTTTCTTTTTTTTTTTTTTTTTTGAGACAGAGTTTCACTCGTTACCCAGGCTGGAGTGCAATGGCACAATCTCGGCTCACCGCAACCTACTCCTCCTGGGCTCAGGCAATTCTCCTGGCTCAGCTTCCTGAGTAGCTGGGATTACAGGCACGTGCCACCATGCCCAGCTAATTTTTTGCACTTTTAGTAGAGACGGGGTTTCACCATGTTGACCAGGATGGTCTCGATCTATCGACCTCATGATCCACCCACCTCGGACTCCCGAAGTGCTGGGATTACAGGCTTGAGCCACCGCACCCGGCTAACCCTCTTTTTTCTTTTCTTTTCTTTCTTTTTTTTTTTTTTTTTTTTTTTTCGAGATCGAGTCTGGCTCTGTCACCCAGACTGGAGTGCATTGGTACAATCACTGCAGCCTCAATCTCCTGGGCTCAAGTGATTCTCCTGCCTCAGTCTCCCAAGTAGCTGGGACTACTACAGGCATGCACCACCACACCTGGAAAATTTTTAAAAATAAGCCGGGCGCGGTGGCTCAAGCCTGTAATCCCAGCACTTTGGGAGGCTGAGGCGGGTGGATCACGAGGTCAAGAGATTGAGACCATCCTGGTCAACATGGTGAAACCCCGTCTCTTCCAAAAATACAAAAAATTAGCTGGGCATGGTGGCGCGTGCCTGTAATCCCAGCTACTCAGGAGGCTGAGGCAGGAGAATTGCCTGAACCCAGGAGGCGGAGGTTGTGGTGAGCCGAGATCGCGCCATTGCACCCCAGCCTGGGTAAGAAGAACGAAACTCCGTCTCAAAAAAAAAAAAAAAAAAAAAAAAAAAAAAACATGTAGGGTCCCACTATATTGCCTAGGCTGGTCTCAAACTGCTGGGCTCAAGCAATTCTTCTGCCTTGGCTTCCCAAAGTGGTGGGATTATAGGTGTTAGGCACAGCCTGAAGTTCTTTCTGCATAGTTGTAAACATGTTTTGGATTTTATTTCTAGAAATGGAAATAAAGGAGTTGCTTAGTCAACTCCTGTGCTCATTTTACATTGTAATGGATACTGCCAAATCACATCTTGTTCTTTCAGACTAGATAAAGGCCAGGCACCAAGTTGTTAGATATAGTGAGTAAAGAGGACCACAATACCTGTGGCAAGGAGCTTTGTTCTAATAGGAGATGCAAAAATTAGTGGAATAGTTCAGTATGAAATTACCACTGTGAGTGCATTGGATGGAAATGCATCAAAAATAAAAAAATAAAAATTACCACCCTGACTTGGAGTGCTGCATAGGAGAGTTGGTAGACTCAATCCTCAGCCTCTCTTCATCTATGCTCCTTCCCCAGTGATCTCATTCAACCTCTTTGCCTTAGGACCTCCCATACCCTGATGACTTCCAGGTTTTCATTTGTAATCCTATCAAATTTCCTAAACTTCACACTCAGTATATTAAGTTGCCCATTCAATCCATTTGGATGTCATTGGCACTCAGATTTAACAGGTCTTAAACAAAATTCTCAAATTTACCTCCAAACTTGCCACTCCCTCAGTATTTCCCAGCTCATTAATACCACTATCTCTCACCATTTACTCAGGCAAAAAAATTCACAAGTTTGGCCAGGCATGGTAGCTCACATCTGTAATCCCAGCACTTTGGGAGGCTGAGGGAGGCAGATCACCTGAGGTCAGGAGTTCAAGACCAGCCTGGCCAAGATAGCAAAACCCCATCTCTACTAAAAATACAAAACTTAACCGGGTGTGGTGGTGGGCGCCTGTAATCCTAGCTACTCGGGAGGCTGAGGCAGGAGAATTGCTTGAACCCAGGAGGTTGCAGTGAGCCAAGATTGTACCACTGCACTCCAGCCTGGGTGACAGAGCAAGACTCCATCTCAAAAAAAAAAAAAGAAAGAAAGAAAGAAAGAAAAAACAAATCACAAGTTTTCCATGATTTTTCCTCTTCCAAATCTAGTCCACAAGCAATTCCCATGTACTATACCTCCAAGATATGTCCTGACTTTAGCACTTGCCACTACCTGTAGCTCTAGTCCAAGCCACCTTCAATGTGTCATTGGATGTGAGCAGTAGTTCCTTATTAACTAGTCTCCCTGCTTTAAATTAGTTTTTATTTTTGTAGAGACAAGATCTCACTCTGTCACCCATGTTGGAATGCATTACATTTTATTTTTATGTATTTATTTATTTTGAGACAGAGTCTTGCTCTTTCACCAGGCTGGAGTGCAGTGGCACGATCTCAGCTCACTGCAACCTCTGTCGCCCAGATTCAAGCAATTCCCCTGCCTCAGCCTCCTGAGTAGCTCTGACTAAAGATGCGTGCCACCATGCTTGGCTAATTTTTTGTACCTTAGTAGAGACAGGGTTTTACCATGGCCAGGATGGTCTCGATCTCCTGACCTCATGATTTCCCGCCTCGGCCTCCCAAAGTGCTGGGATTACAGGTATGAGCCACCACACCCGGCCCATTTATTTATTTATATTTTTTGAGATGAAGTTCCGCTCTTGTTGGCCAGGCTGGAGTGCAATGGTGGATCTCGGCTCACTGCAACCTCCACCTCCTGGGTTCAGGCAAATCTGCTGCCTCAGTCTCCTAAGTAGCTGGGACTATAGGCATGTACCACCATGCCTGGTTAACTTAGTAGAGACAGGGATTCACTATGTGGGCCAGGCTGGTCTCAAACTCCTGACCTCAGGTGATTTGCCTACCTCAAATTCCCAAAGTGCTGGGATTACAGGCATGAGTCACCTCACCTGGCCCAGTACATTTTATTTTTATTTTTATTCTTTTTCTGTTTCTTTCTTTCTTTCTTTTTTTGAGATGGGATTTCACCATGTTGGGCAGGATGGTCTCGATCTCCTGACCTTGTGATCTGCCTGCTTCAGCCTCTCAAAGTGCCGGGATTACAGGCATGAGCCACTGTACCCAGACTATTCTTTTTCTTTAAAGAAAATATATTTATTTTTTTCAAGATAGAAGGTGAGATTTTTTCCTTT